TTTCTGGTGCCCCGGGTGAGGAAGGTGTGGGATGCATGTCCTTTGCGCATGACATATTGCTGTTTCTCTGTACCGTTTTCAGCGCGTTTACGCATCAATTGTAACTGCTGCGACGGTGTGAAGGAGAGCGATTGCGAACGAGGGAGACACTGTGGGTCGTCCCAGAGAGAGTTGTATGCGGCGTGAGCCCAGCGAGTGAGGAATCCTGCTTGGACCGAGTGGCGGTACGAGTTTGTGGATCAATTGCCGTTCGAGGCTCGTCGACGACCATAAGTACTCAGTTTGTGCCTGCGTTGCGGACTTAAGCGATTCAGTTTGTGTGACGGGCGTGCGTTCGGGTGCCGTCCGCGCCACTGTGGGGGATTGTCGCATTGTGATACGTTGATCTTATTCGGTGAGCTTAACCAGCGATATCAAGTTGTTTGTCATGGCGCCTCCTACGCTGAGGAAATGGGTCGCGTTACAGAGCATGCGTTTAAAGGAGATGCGGTTAATACAGGAAAGCTTTCGCGGTAGAGATAGTGCTACTTTGAGCAAATCGGGTATCCAGCCGCGACTAGAACGCCTGAATGAGATATGGGCGGACGTGTGTAACACACACGGGGAGATCTCGGCCAAAGAGGGGTCAGAGTCGGATCCGTATATGATGGACGATATGTACGCTACGTTGCATACCACTTGCGAGGAGGTGCGCGATCTATTGTTAACTTTGCGCGAGCCCTTTGAGGTTGGGGAGATACCGGCTACGAGTGGTCAGGGCGCGAACGCTGGGTCATCCAAGCCGGATGCGGACGCGTCCATAGCGCGTCTGCCGCGAATGCCGTTACCCACGTTTTCGGGGGAGTACGAGGACTGGGCGAGCTTTTGCGACCTCTTTACCGCTCTGGTACATGAGGTGCCCCAATTCGCAGACGTGACTAAGTTGCAATTTCTGAAGTCGTGCTTGACGGGTCCGGCTGCCGAGTTAATTAAGGAGGTCGAAACGACTAACGCGAATTATGCCAGTACATGGTTAACGCTCAAGGCGAGATATCATAACCCACGTCTCATTCTTGCGAAATACCTTACGTCTTTGTCACGCCTCCAACCTTTGAGGAAGGAGTCTGCCGTAGGCTTGCGTGCGTTTACCGACGAAGCGACGCGGATTGTTCGCGCTCTCACGAATACGAAACGAGCGGAGGCGCTTTGGGATCAGTGGCTTGTCCACTCTCTCTCTGAGAGGTTAGATACGGAGTCGCGGAGACTCTGGGAGGCTGAGCTCAGTGTGAGGGACCAGCAGGCTGCAGGGAGCGCGGGAGAGGGGGATATTGATCCGCTGAAATATTTGCCTACTTTTACGGAACTAGTAGCTTTTTTGGAAAGGCGAGTGCAGACGCTCCACATGTTGAGTTCGGAATCTCTGGCGAATAAGGGGGAGAAGAGAACGGCTCACGATAGTAAGCCCGTTCATAAAACACAGAAGGTCTTTCACGCTAGCTCTTCCTCTTCGACATCGGATAAATTGAAATGTATTGCTTGTTCGGGGCCTCATTCCCTGACGAAATGTGCTAGTTTTAAAGCGAAGTCTGCGAATGACCGACGTGATTGTGTGCGACGCTCTGGCGTTTGCTATAATTGCTTCGGCGGACATAGAGTGAACGATTGCCGATCGGATAAGCGCTGTGGCGTCTCCGGTTGTCAGAGGAAGCACCACACCCTATTGCATCCGTCAGCGGCTGCCGAGCCGATTGGGGAGGGCCGCGATTTACCGACGGGGAAGTCCGAGGTCGACGTCGATGCAAAGCCAGTAGTTGTTGGCACTCACTCTGCCAGAGCATCTCCACTTCCGGAGACGGTACTATTAGCCACAGCTCAGGTTGGAGCCTTAAGCTCGAGCGGGGAAACAATTAGAGTCCGCGCGTTGTTAGATCAGGGCTCGGAAGCCTCTTTCGTGTCCGAGTCGATAGCCCAGCTACTCGAGTTGCCGAGACGACCGGGGGAAATCTCGTTACGGGGGATAAACGGTAGCCGAGCCGGTGCTGCTCATTCGATTACACGGTTAGTGTTGAGTTCACTGGTTGGCCCGCGATCCACGATCGAGATTGATGCACTAGTTCTGTCGCGTCTTACGGCACCGCTTCCAGCATGCTCGCTGAAGGAGCGCGTTTTACCGCGATTTCAAGGACTGCCGCTGGCAGATCCTCAATTTGCCATTTCGAACCCGGTGGATCTTATTCTGGGGGCGGATGCGTACGGGCAGATTTTAAAACCAGGCGTGAAACATTGGCCTGCTTCGCGTCTTGTAGCACAGAACACCGTATTCGGTTGGGTGGTCTCGGGCGCGATTACAGCCGACCCGGCACGGCGGGCGGTTCCGGTACGGCGGGCGGTTTCGATATCCCTTGCGCATTGCTCCACCGATCCGGACTTGTCGAGGGTGATGGAGCGGTTCTGGGACTTAGAGTAGGTCCCGGTGCGGGCCGCGTCAGGGCGGTCCACCCTGAACCCGATAGTTTAGTTAGGGGAGTTACGGGGGGAACGGCCACCTCCGCATTCCGGCGACATGTAGCCGGACTCAGTCCACTGACAATCGGGGAGGAGCCAGGTGTGATCGCCGCGAAGTAGCGAATGATCGAGATGTATGTTCGTCCACGGACGAAGGCGGGCGGAA